AACGAGCTCCATCTGCTCCTCTTGATTTAGTAGTTCTGCTGATGTCCCTGTGTCACAGCCTGATGTCACTTCTTTTTCTTCCTTCCCACTGCTCTCCACCCCCTCAGATCTACAGAAACTTCCTGACATCCTGGTGCCAGGTCTTCTCTCAAATCAGAGTTTCTCTTCATTTCCACTGCTCAGTCTTTTTTTTTTGTAGCACCTCTGTTCCCTCCTGATCGCTCTGGCTTACCTCTTTGCTCTGCAGTCCCTGGTAACAGAACACCCACCACGACTCTTCCTTGCTGGTCACTCTTGCCCTACTACCTGCATACTCACATTTTGCCCCCAGGACTGCACAAGGGGACTCAGCCCTGGTGGCCCGGTTTCTGTCTCAGGTTACAAAATTGGTGTTAGGGTCTTGTCAAGGGCAAAGACATCAGCAGTGAGTAACTTCATTTAAAACCTCAAGTCTTGGCTGAAGCTAGTCCTCCTCCAGAAGAACACACGGGTCCAGCCCCAGGCAGCTCCTGTGCTGACCCCTCTCTAGTGTGGAACCATTGGGTGCTACTTAAGGGGTTTTGTTTAAATGCAAGTGATTGAGGATGGATCCTTGCAAACTACTTTGGATCTTTCACTATAAGTTGATAGCCTTCTAGCCCTACTGTGACATGGACATAGTCTTGACCCCATCATTTCTCTTTCCCCCCTACAGGCAGGAATCACAACCACACTCAACTCCCGCTGCTCAGTGCTGGCAGCTGCCAACTCTGTCTTTGGGCGCTGGGATGAGACCAAGGGCGAGGAGAACATTGATTTTATGCCCACCATCCTGTCCCGATTTGACATGATCTTCATTGTCAAGGATGAGCACAACGAGGAGCGAGATATGGTGGGTCGAGGCGTGTGGGTGCACCTGGGGCTCGTGGTGCTCTGTTTTTCGGGAGTGGGAGGCAGGGAGGTTCCTGCTGCCTGACTGCCGCCCTCTCTCCTAGACACTGGCCAAGCACGTGATGTCCTTACACGTGAGCGCCTTGACACAGACCCAGGCTGTGGAGGGTGAGATCGAGTTGAACAAGCTGAAGAAGCTCATCTCCTTCTGTCGAACGTGAGTGAGAAGTGTGACTTTTGGGCAGCACCCAGGCTGCAGGGTGGGAGGTGGTGGTGAGAAGCAAATCACACAGCCAGTATTTGCAAGAGCTCCATCTAGGTGGCCTTTTTTTAACTCCTGCCTTGAAAAAAGGGAAGCGAGAGCAGCTCGCAGTGGTGCCACAGCAAGGCCCAAGGAAATGAGGGATGCCCAGAGACCACCCTGCCCAGGGGAACCTCCCCAGCAGTGCCACCTCCATCTTCTGTCCCCCCTTGCAGGAGGTGTGGCCCTCGGCTGTCAGCAGCGGCGGCGGAGAAGCTGAAGAACCGCTACGTCCTGATGCGGAGCGGCACTCGCCAGCACGAGCAGGAGAGCGACCGCCGCTCCAGCATCCCCATCACCGTCCGGAGAGCACCCCCACCTGCATCACCCCACTGAAACCCTCGGGGTTGGGGTTGTGTCGTCGGGTGTAACTTGGGGTAGCCCAGGAAGGGGGTTAGTGTGGTGCTAGGGTTTGGGGGTTCCCTCTGAGACCGGGACAGGGCTGGAGGTGCAGTGGAGGGGTCTGGAGGTGCCCGGAGTGGGGTGAGCGGTGGTGTCAGGGGTGGGTGAGAAGAAGACCCCTCGCGACTGTAGTAAGAAGCAGGGGCCATCTCTATCGGCTGCAGGCAGCTGGAGGCCATCGTGCGCATTGCTGAGTCCCTGGGGAAGATGAAGCTTCAGCCCTTCGCCACTGAGGCAGATGTTGAAGAGGCCTTGAGGCTCTTCCAGGTGTCCACGCTTGATGCAGCCATGTCAGGCAGCCTGTCAGGTGAGGAGGACATGCTCTGTGCTGGGGGCAAGAGGGGCATGATGGGCCCAGGTGCTCAGGGCAAGGAGGGCCAAGCTCTCCTCCTGGGACCAGGCTGGCAGGGACAGGGGTGCTACCAGGCACCCCCCAGGCGAATGCTGGACCTCTTTTAAGCAAAGGCAAAGCAATGCCTTTGGCAGCAAGGGGCCGTCATTGCCCTCCCTGTTTGCCATAGCCACAGGACCACGACAAACGACACCGAGGGCCTCCCATCTGTGCTGGGCAAGGGAGGGATGGTCTGGCCCCTTGTGGTCCCAAGGGCAGAGTCCAGTGCTGGAGGTGGTTCCCCAGCCTGTTTGTCTTCTAACGTCTTTCCCTGTGAGGGTGGAGAGTGTTTCCTTGGGAGGCAGCATGGCACAAAGAGTTTGAAGGAAGCTCCAGCAATTGGGTCCGTGTTCAGCTGTGTCTTTGGAGCTCCACAGCCTTTGATGGTGGATTTGCTCATGGGTTCCCTGAAGTCTCTGAGACACGCCGGCGTGGTGGGGGGCATGGGAGATGGGCAGCCTGGCTTTGGGAGTGATGTCTGGGTGGCACAGAGAGCTCACGCAGCGTCTCCCTTCAGGGGCAGAAGGCTTCACGACACAGGAGGACCAAGAGATGCTGTCCCGCATTGAGAAGCAGCTCAAGCGCCGCTTCGCCATTGGCTCTCAGGTGTCAGAGCACAGCATCATCCAGGTCTTCGTGCGGCAGGTGGGCCAGGGACCCGGTGGAGGGTTGGGCTGTGAAACCAGGGACCGCAGGCTGGTGCTCGGGGGGTAGAACCCCTTCCCCAAGAGGTGGCTGCAGAGCCTTTTATTGTATCTGCTCTTGAAGTTGTTCGTAGGAAGCAGTGTGCAATGTGATTGCAGAGTTTAAGGGGAGTGAGGTGAGAATGCATTTTTCTGCAAAGGCGCTGAGGTTTGGGGCTGTTTGGGTAGGTTGAGGTCCTGCCCTTGAAACCAGAACCATTTGATTTGTGAGACCGGCTGCAGTCAGACCTGAAATAGTGAAAGGGTAAAGGAGCATCAGCACCTGCTTCCACTGGGCTCCCTCCCTCTGGAGGAGCACAGCCAGGCTTTAGCAGTGGTTGATTGCAGGTTCCTGCTGGGCTCCAGTGAGCTTTTCCCTGCCTGCTCACCTTCTCCTGCTCTCCCCTTTTCCAGAAATACCCAGAACATGCCATCTACAAGGTGCTGCAGCTGATGATGCGGCGGGGGGAGATCCAGCACCGCATGCAACGCAAAGTCCTCTACCGCATCAAGTGACCTCCCGCTGCCTGACGCCTGCCCAGGTGTGGGCAGAGAGCCCCGTGGGGTCAGCGCCTGCTCCTGGATAAGCTTTTCCTTGGGGAGCCAAAGCGCCCAGAGCCTCCCTCTTGAAACCAGGGTTTGGGGCAGCTGAGGTTCCTCTTGGGTGCTCTGTCTCTGTGTCACATCAGTGTTTCTTTGAACTTTAAAAGCTTTTAGTTTGTATTAAAATAAAAACTGATATTGGTAGTCCAGTGTCTTTGGCTGCCTGGAAGGACAGAGGGGATGTATCCTCTTTCTCTGTTGGAGGTGGGGCAGGATTTTGGTTTGAAAAGGCATCCCTCTGGCTCGCCCTGTGTTACCCACTGCCCAGTGCCCACCCTGGGGAGTTGCCTCGAGGTGGGACGCAGACCCCTGGGCAGCACCAGCAGCCCTGAAGGCAGAAACTCATTTCTGGCCTGGGATTTGATCTGTATATTAAGGCATAAATCCTGTTGGTGCAGGCTGCTCTGCTGGGCTTCGCCAGGCCGGAGACACCTGCCGGGGTGCAGCCTGCCACTGTCTTCCCTGTCTGCCAGCAGCAGTGAAGGAAATAACATGCTTTTCCCTGCTTCAGAGCTGCTCTTTGCTTATCCCTCCTTCCTATCTCCAAGGATTATGGTAGACAAATGCTTCACCCTGCGTGAAAGCCTTGCTGGAGGTGTGGGCAGAGCAGTGGGGTAGAGCAGTGCCAAGTGAGGGTGGGGATGGAGGGCGACATCTGAGAACTGTGTGCTCTCCTCCCCATACTTCTATCACCTTGTTCGTGTGCTGGCAGCCGTGGCGGGGGATGTCCGCTCGCCAGGAGCTTCTCGGGCTCTCTGCCCCGGGGTGCACTTGTGCAACCACCTGCCCTTATGCATCTGCTGCATGAGCTTGCACTTGTCACACTGCAGGTTTTTGTCATTTCTAGCGAAGTGGTATGGCTTCTCCTAAGTGTCCTCCCGAAGATGTGAGCTGTGGGTAGGTCCCTGCCCACAGCAGCCTGGGGTAGCTCAAATGTGTGTGAGAGCTCCGGTGGGAGACCCTGAGGACAGGCGAGCGAAGCCACCGCCCCCCGCCGTGTCTGCGAGTGCCCTTCAGGCTGCAAAACACACCCCAGGAGAGGCTTCATGAGCAGAAGCGTTTGGGACCAGCAGAGGGTACCAGAGTCTCGAAGATGCCGGGTTGTGTTGCTGCACACAGCGCTGCTGCCGCCCTTCAGGCTGCAAAACACACCCCAGGAGAGGCTTCATGAGCAGAAGCGTTTGGGACCAGCAGAGGGTACCAGAGTCTCGAAGATGCCGGGTTGTGTTGCTGCACACAGCGCTGCTGCCGCCTCCGAGAGGGGAAGCCAAGGGGTCCCTTTGGGCTGGGGTGGTGGGCTGTGGGGTGCGCCCAGCCTGGCCCTTGTCACACAAGGACTGGGCTCCCCTGTGACCCATGGGGGCTGAATGGTGTCCCTGTTTCCTTCTGTTTGGGTGTTTCAAGAGGTGCACAGTGCACTCCGGACAGGGCTGGAGCTGGTTATGGGGTCGGGGGGTCTGTCTGCAGGGGATGGGGCAGTGGTGGCTCTGGCAGGACGGGCTGCCTTTCAGAGAAACAGCCTCCTGCTCTTTGTCCTCCAGTTTTTCAGATGGGCCTGACCTTTGGAGGGCTGGAGGGGAGAGGAGGCTGGCCCAAATGCTCCTTAGAGGGATGGGTCTTCCGAAAGCTCTTCCCGATGATTTTATTGCCCAGTATTTTTGCAGGTGCCAGGCACCTCAAAGGGCTTCTTGGAGCAACCAACTCTGGGGCAAAAGTGGGCACCCTTTTTTTCCCTTTAAAAAAAAAAAAAAAAGAGATACCTTCTCTCCCCACACTGCTCCCTGGCTGGGGATGCAGCTGCTCTGAGCTGCTGCTCTGGGGATGGGATCAGCTCCATGGAGGAGGAGTAAGCGGAAGTCAGGGTCAACACGGCCCCAAAGCAGCAGCATGGTGTCGTGGCTGTTTCCCTGCCACATGCCGTAGCCAATGCAGTGCTGTGATGATAGGTCCTAAAGGTCTCAGCCCCTGCCATCCTTCCCCAGTGCCTCTGCCCTTGCCTTGGAGATGCTGGAGGTACTTGTCAGTACCTATGGTCCTCCTTCCAGAGTCACAGCAAGAGCAAAGCAAACAGGGAGGTGAGTATGGGACCGGTACCCACAGCCTGCTGTTAATGCTGCTACTGGAGGAGGCTGTGAGCCTCCATTCCCAGGCTTGGAAAGAGCATCTAGTGATGGAGAGCAGCTAGGTGAGGAGAGTGTGTCTTGGGAAGGGAACTGGGGAGAGGAACACAGTGCAAAGGGCTCTGCTTCTGTCCTTCCTTCCGTCCTTCCTTCCCTCCACACTCCTGCCTTTCCCCATGATCTTTGCTCTGTGCTGGAGCAGTAACGCACGGCTGAATTTCAGCTGCTGACTGCCAGTGGTGGTCGTGTGGTGCTCACGGCTTTTAGAAGATCCAGCATCTCAAGGTACATCAACCTATTCTGGGCGTTGGCAGGTGCGGAGGTTGGAAATTCTTTTTGTTGGATGTTTTTGGGTTTTTTTAAGTTTTCATGACATGATAGGGAGCAGAGGTAGATTTCCGTGATGGGGATAAGGATGATTGATCTCTTCGTGCTGTGAAATGTGTTGATTATATGGTACGAGGTTATGTAAGTGTACGTACGGCTTGAAACAACATTGTTTAGCAACTAATGTATGCAGCTCTATTAAAGAAGCAGAGATGGGATGTGCACAATTCTGCCATTATCTTGGAACTCGAGATCATTGATTAGTAATGGCTTGTTTTGATCACTGTGCTGCAGATGGAAATTTTGGGAGGAAAAGCAGTTCTCGGTTGAGTAGAGTGGTAATGATTGGTGGTATCTGCTTGTTAAGGGATTGGTGGTCCTCCTGGTGAAGATGGCCAGATTTTCCCTCAAATGGTAGCTACTTGATAAAGAATTGATCATCTTTCTGGTGAAGATGTCTCTTCTTGGTCATCCCTGAGGTTTTGGCATGCTGAGACTTGGGACAGAGTCCCTGTCTGGGTGTCCTTAGATGACCAAAAATACTGTTCTCACATCCAAGGCCATCAGAGAGAGTAAAACCAGACAGACATAGCCACTTCACATTTGAGCAGTGCAGCGTTCCCTTACCTAGCCCACAGATCTGACCTTCTCCCTTCCTTAACTCAGTGCTGCGTCACTGGCACAGGAGGCCCCTTCCCCACCCTTGGCTTGTCTGCTTGGGAAGTAAAGTTGGGTGAGTGTAACCGCTCCAAACCAGGCAGCTGCCAGGGATGCTCAGGTGCCTTTGATTCAAAGCTTGGGCTGATGTAGGAGCCACCCACCTCTTACCGCAATGAATTAACTGCCAAGGACCTTCCAGATTACACGTAATCCTGCATGAGGTGAGTTCATCTGTGCAAGCGGAGGGGAGTTTCTTGCTCTAGAGAGGTCCAATGCACTGGGCTCTTGCCAGCCTTTTGGGGTCTCCATGGGAGGGTCAGGTTGGGATTCTTCTCACCAGGTGTGAAGAGCTGTGTTTAAGCAAGGTGATCTCTGTGTCAGTGCAGGGGAGTGAATGCTTCCAGACAGCAAGTTGGTTTATCCAAAGTAAATGTTTAAAAGAAACCAGAGAAGCTGTGCCCTAACTGCATCTGTTTCCCCTCCATTAACTATGAAACGTCAGGGCAACGAGGTTGGGAGAGTATTCCTACATCATAGACATCTCAAACTGAGATGTGTATGTCCTTCCTTCCTGTGTGCTGCACTGCAGTATCGAAGGAGAAGGGCTTTGGTGAAGGCGTGCTTTGGGTGGCTGAGTTTGGGGCAGCTTCACTAGGTTTGATCCTCTTTCTTCTTACACCAAGCTCATCAGAATATCTCTGTGGAAATGTCGGTGGAGCTCCACTACTGTAAAATTCAGCAAAGCTGAGTCATCACATCTGCACCACTCGGATCTCTTCCATCTTCGTGTAGGACGAGAGCTGTTGCAATGCAGCAACATAACCTCTGAGCGTGTTGTGAGTGTCACTTCCTCCATAAAATAAAACAAAACCCAACTGCAGTGTCCTGAGGGCTATTGCTCAAGGATGTGGGATGAACACTGGCAAGCGGAATATGCTGATATGGGCAACATGAGAAGCAATATGAGCTGATCCACCAAGCACTGACCTCGGACAAAGGAAGCCGGGGCAGCTCCTTCCCTCTTTTTGCTATGAACTTACTGGACCAGTTGAGCAAGCAGCTTCATCTCCTTGCCTGTCCTAGATAATAAGCTTTTTGGAGCAGAGACCACCTCTTACCACAATTTTCTGTAGCGTCTGGCACAATAGTAGCCCAAACTCAGTGGCAGTCTACCAGCTGAAATAAATAACATTAACATGTTCTAGGGCCTCTCCAGCCCTTGCCAGGCTGAGAACTGATCTCTTGGAGGCAAAGAAATCCCTGTGCTTTGCTCTGGACAGTGCCAGAAAAGGCGAAGAGACAAAGGGAGAAGTCTCCAGGAGGGAGACCATGATGCAGTGATGCCATGCTGCCGTGACATTACCCTGTGGAACAGCACACGTGTCATGGATCTGGGTGCCTCTGATGTGGTCTGCTGGGTGGAGATGTCTCATGCTGAGTTTCAAGTCCTTTAGGAAGTTTGACTGACAGACTGTATCCCCTAATTCCAGACTAGGTTCCTTCAAAATCCCAAACCATTAGTTCTCTCACAGCTGTGATATACAAATGCCTGCAGCTGCTCTTCACCCCATTTTGCCCATCCCTCTGCAACATCCTTTGCTCCTTTCTGCACACCTCTACTGCCAGCCAGTCTGTTTTCTCCTCCTCCACCCCACTGCATGCCTCATGCTTTCTCTCCCTTCTCCTCTGCATGGTCAGCCCCTCCTATTCCCCTTCCTGGCCATTGCAATCAGTCCCTGGCCACCTTGCAGAACACACAGCACAAGCCTCCCACTTCTATTTTCAAGCCCGCTGGCTTCACCCTCA